GGGGGAGTGTGAGAGGAGAGGGACAGCAGTGGCTTTAGCGGTGTCTACATTTTGTTGCACGTCTATTTAAACGCTTGAAATATATATATACAGGCCATAATAATATAGTAGTATCAATCTTTTTACATCTATGCATTTAAACTGACATTTGCGAATTTAAAGGAGTTAATTCGTACAGTAGCGATCAGTCACATGACCTCTGCCTCCGGTCTGCAGACACATGGGCCTATGTCACTTGGGAGAAAGCGAGAGGGGAGTATAAGTCCTTATAGACGCTATCCACGTAATCATATAAAATATAATAACGAGTCCCCCGCCCATTGGAAATTCAAACCTATTTTGAAAGCCTAATTTCGTTAGCGTGGGTCGACAAGGACAGTAAATATGACTTGTCTTTTGAAGTGATTGCTGTTTCCCCCTCTTTAAGAAGCGGTGTCCAGAGATGGTACAGTCCCCGTTGAATGGGTGTGGTTGAGCTTTGCTTCGGAGAGAAGCGACGTCTGCACACTGTATATAGGTTTACAATGGGGGATTTTAATCATTAAGATTAAGCATTTGTGTACATATTTATAAATATGTGATATCTATACATCAGTATATTTTTTCTTTTTGTAGCTAAAGGGCACGACGATAGGTCGTTTCAGGCTCCGAGCTGTATTTTGTCTTTAATCCGTGAGCCTTGTCTTTCCTTCTCCTGTGGGCCGGAATTTATTTAATAATTCATTTTTGTACCAGAAGACCGAGGGCGTAGCGGGAGCGGAGAGTGAGAGGAAACGGGAAACGGGCGAGCGAAAGAAACATTTTTTTTTTTACATTTCAAAACACCATTAGAAAAACCGCAACGACACAGGAAGCGCTTTTAAAATAAGTATTAAGATTTCTAAAGCATGATGTATGTGTAGCTACAGCGAAAATCAAAACGTATCGTTAAATGTTACACGGGAGTTTTATGCGGACACCAGCGCCTCTGCTTTTGGGAAGAAGAACTTAAAAAAACCAGACATTTTGGAGAGAAAGCGGATTGTCTCCAGACGAGGAATATGAGGGTTTATTTATTTTTTGTCTCCTTAACCGACAAGTAGAGGGGCGAAAACGATTTCTGAAGACCTCTCAGACGTAACGACCCTGGAAAGGAAACGCTGAATATTTTTTTTCCCCCTCGTTTGGAACTCGGAAGAAAATATATTTTTTTGTGATCGTGTGAGATTCGCGTGTTGGAAGAGCACCCGCGCGAGCGTCGGCGCCGAGACAGAGCCACGAGCGAGGTACGCGTCCCCCTCCCGCGAGCCCGGCGCGCTTTCCGCGGCGGCCGAGCGAGAGCTCGTCCCCCACAGCCGAGCCCATCCGAGCCCGGCGGGCAGGGAAGCGCACGGCCGTCGCGGCCACGGGTGACGAGGGGGAGGGGGGGAGGTCTGGGCGACTTGTAGCGCAAGCGGCGGATTCCATTCCCTTCCGCTGAAGCTCAAAGCGAGTAGCGGGCGCGCAGCCTGACGTGGCCGGGAGCTGTTAGATCGCTGCCCCTGTCTGAGCGCGCTTTCCCGACTCGTCCATGTCTGTACACTGTGTACCCCTGCGTCTGCTCATCGTGCATGCGTCTGTAACACATTTGTGATTAGCAGTAGCAGCAAAAATAGTTGCAGCTGTAACGGTGATTCTGGCTTTAGTAGGAAATGCAGTATTTGTGTCAACAGCTGGAGCAGCAGTAGGGACACCAGTGTCAACAGCTGGGGCAGCAGTAGGGACAGCAGTGTCAACAGCTGGGGCAGCAGTAGGGACAGCAGTGTCAACAGCTGGGGCAGCAGTGGGGACAGCTGTATCAACAGCTGGGGCAGTAGTATGGACAGCTGGGGCAGGAGTAGGGACAGCAGTGTCAACAGCTGGAGCAGGAGTAGGGACAGCAGTGTCAACAGCTGGGGCAGCAGCAGGGACAGCTGGGGCAGCAGTAGGGACATCAGTGTCAACAGCTGGAGCAGGAGTAGGGACATCAGTGTCAACAGCTGGAGCAGCAATAGGGACAGCTGGGGCAGCAGCAGGGACATAAGTGTCAACAGCTGGGGCAGCAGTATGGACATCAGTGTCAACAGCTGGGGCAGCAGTATGGACATCAGTGTCAACAGCTGGGGCAGCAGTAGGGACAGCTGGGGCAGCAGATGGGACATCAGTGTCAACAGCTGGGGAAGCAGCAGGGACATCAGTGTCAATAGCTGGAGCAGCAGTAGGGACAGCTGGGGCAGCAGCAGGGACATCAATGTCAACAGCTGGGGCAGCAGTATGGACAGCTGTATCAACACCTGGAGCAGCAGTAGGGACACCAGTGTCAACAGCTGGGGCAGCAGTGGGGACA